ATTCGCAGGAATACAATCTATATGTGTTTCCTGCAGTGTTTGGTGCAGCAATAGTACCCATAACTTGTCTTGCAATTTATGAAGGTTGCGAATGGTCATACAATATTCAAGTTATTATGCTTAAATGCTATTAATAGTCCGTAAACTGAATAGAACGCAATATAATATGGCCGGCGTAATGAAATCTAATGAAAGTTCGGGCTCTGTCAATTGGAAGTAATAGGGTGCAAATTCTAAAGGCTATGCTACGCTTTAATAATCCTCTGTAATATTTAGTAGCTAATTAACTATGTCACACCATTAACATCAGTATTTCTCACTAGTTTAATTCAGTTATGAACACATGATAAATTAACATTAATTAAATAATAATTAAATAACTGGCGTCAATTCATCACGAGAGAATTTTTAATTTTTTATAAATATAATTTTACAAATTTTATCATATTGTATCTTTATTTTTATTTTATTCTAAAAAAGTAGAACGCATTTTTATTGAGTTCTGAAGCAGTTAATGAATTGGTCAATAAAAATGATATTCTAGTTTTATTTTCTGACTACTTTAATGTATATTAATTATCTTTTTATTGAATTACTGATTAATTATTCATATATAGCTATAAAAATACACGCACACATGTCATATATTTTTATGTAAAATATCGCAGAGTGCTATGCTCCCCAACAGTAATCCGGCTTTACATCTTATCAAAATAACAATGCGACATAATACCCAGATAAAATCGAGTTTGTGAACATTTGTGACTGTCGTTGTAAATCGATGTTTCGCGCGCAGAAAAATTGATATTCTCGTTTACGTAAACTTTTCGCAAATTTTGATAGGTTATATTTCTCTCGCATTATTCGATAAAAATAGAAATATTGTTTTTCCGATATTCGATTACATTTTTTCGACAGCTTTGAACAGATTGATGATATTAAAACAGAAATTTTTTTGCGACTGTCGTCATATGGAAATTTAAATTGTTATTAGCGTATGTACATTTACATTAAATACTTATTATTTTCATTTTCCGTGTTCTGAGAAATGAATAGACAAAAATAGTTTACCAGGAACGTCAATTTGCACATTTTATACGCCGAGATGCATAGTAACGGGAAGAGGAAAAGTGTTGTAATGAGTTTTACTGAGAACGGAAAGACGTCGTGTTCTTTTGAGCGAACGATAACAGACAACGTGAAATTCAATTTGACGTATATCCGATCAACCGTAAACAACAGTACGTCAAAAAGAATGTCTTAACCTCCACATTCTTGCCATTTCCTAAAATAGCACTCGAGTGAAAGCGCCCACATTATCTTATCTTTCCTTCGAGACAATGTCTCATCCATTTTAATTTCCCTCTTTGAAAGCACACCATATGCTCGCATTTTCACCTGCGAGTAGCAAAATTGCTTTACGACGTTGAAAAAATTTAATTTGGCTCTATGCTCTTTATTATCGATCGCCGGAAACACGTGTACATTATTATATCATTTTGGAAGGAAATTTCTGAATATGTAATAAGAAAATTTTGTTAATTTAATAACGAGTCCAGTATTAATCATGTATGAAACAAGGGATTGTATTTAAATTTATTTTTTCTTCTTTTCTTCCCTTCTATTTTTGAAAATCCGTTACCATGTTATCTGAGAGGTTCACAGTTCTTCATGAGATGAAGATTTTCAGAATGTTCATTGAAAGAATGAAGACAGGAACGTAAGAGAAGATATATACAATATATATATATATATACTGAGCTCTTCATTTAGAAAGCTTTCAGTCGATTTCTCAAAGTGACGTAAATACGAATGCGTCGCAAATGGCACTTTCAAACTGCATTGTGTCTCTTTAACGCGGTCGTCGCTACGTTCGCGGTTTCTGCAGGATATTCGTCTGCTCAAAGATTCTAACAGAAAAGTGCTAGAGATTTGGGTAGAATACGCTCCGGTGAGCATTACGCTGGTCCATTATGCTTGGCTTAGATTTCAAGGAGATGGATAGCTCCATGAACATACGGTAAAATATATAGTGCGGCTTAAAAACAGCGGCATGTATTTCGATGACAGATATCAGAGCCAAATGAAGACGAATAGCGCAAAAAGTGTCTTAATTTTAATATATCGATAGATCTGGAATTACAAACGATTAAAAATGAGAAAATTCGTACCAACAGAATTTCAAAGTTAAATATACAATTCATATTCTCCGGTTAATTTTAAGAGAACTTGATAGCATTTCATTGTGATTTAAAAAAGCCTGCATTAAATTATGGACCAGCAGTTTTTTAGGGCGCTCTATATACATGTGTACATATGTATTTTGATAGTCATTTACTGCGAATAAGAGAAGCTGGCGCCGTGTACGGTCGAGGATAGCAACGTGGAAACTCCCTTAACAGCATTAACATTTCAGGATGCTGCATGAGTTAGATCATAGAGACGGCAGGAACCGATCAGTAACAAATTATATCAACTGGCACCACTGCGACTATGTTCGGTATCATATACAGGAAATACCACCACTATCGCTAAATTCTCAATTAATATCGAGCGAATATTTTATTTCAAGCAAATATCAAATTTTAGTCGCAAAAATATTTAACGTCAAGTTTAATTAATTTATGCTAATAGAAGCTTAAAACTGAAAAAAAGTAATTTTAAAATAATGCATTATATTTACATAAAAAAATATGTGAGAGAGAGAGAGAGATTGAAAATGGTGGAACACTCTGTATGTAATACATAGGTGGACTCGAGTTCTTATCCTCATGCCATCAACTGCATCTTCACGTTTACACGCGGTGATCCTACCACACCGAAACGGGCGTTTCCAGCCGTACACCGTACAAATTAATTCTCATCTCAGCAACAGCTGCTAGATACGGCGGCTTACCAGCTCTCGCGTAAATCGCAGCACCGCTGGTAGTTCAGCTACGCGAGCATTTTTTATTAGGTACATAATGAGCTTGCGTAAATCCGATTTGGATTTTAATCGTTTGCGCTGCACAGCAATTCGCTATTCTCGCGACAAAAGGAAAAGGAAAAAGAACAGAGAAAGGAAAACGGACAAGCGACCGCGGAAGATCAGCGAAGAGACAGAATGTTCATAACTTTGTCTGCTCCATCCATCTAGTTTAAATTTCTATTTACTTTCACGCCAGAAGTTTGCAGCGAAGGCTCAAGTGTCGTGTATGAGTTTGCGAAGAGCGACGAAAGCGTAAACGGATTTTCCTCCACCCGACATGGCGGCTAAGGACCCGCTATTATTTACAAAAGTTCGCCGTCCTTACTTTCCTTTCTCGCCAAGTCGTACACCACTTTTAACGAAGCGGGGACGTACACGAACTTCGAAGATACACAGCAGATGGTGCTTTTTGCGGAGAGCCTTTCGCTTTAATCTTTGCACCCAGGCAACGCGAGAACAGGCTGTTTGTTCCAAATAATACGAGGCAAGGGATTGCTATACTGACATGTTTGTGCTGGATTACGTAAATGTATACATATTATAGCAGGTAGAAATTCGTTAAAAATATTTTTTACAAATTTAATTGCGTATTTGTTTTTAATCTAGTGACGCTAACGTTCACTTTTAATTAAAGATCAAGTTAAACAGGACAACATAAACAGGACAAATTAAATTGTCAGTAAGAATAAAGCAATTAAAATGTTTATTTGTTATCAATTAACGAGAACAAATATTATCGTACGGGTAATTAATCATCTCATACGAGACTCGTGTAGGAATTTTTTTCAAATGGACCGGACAATCTATTTCTGTCTGTAATATCTTGACGAATCACTACTCTCTCGGCCCGTTATTATATGTCAGAATTCAATATATGCCTACATCGATCAATATCGATCAGATTATGGCAGACTATTTTTTCGTTGATAGTATGATATCGCGAGATCATATTTTTTCGTCATTGAATCGGTACGTCTCTAGATGCGTCACAAGCACGAAAAGCGGACGATGCTTCAAAGCTGTGATAAATCTCGTGCTTCGTGAATGAAAAAAAAGTCCTATCGTTCCTATTCGAGAAAAATTTACCACGTAATGGATTCCGCTTCTTTTGTACGCCGATATTCTGCATATCCTAACGTTATGTGCTCTCTTTTGCCCATCGAATAGCGAAGAGAGGAAACCAGAAATTCGAACATGCATTCTTATCCGTTTCATACTTCCAGAATTCCTTTCTGGTACATCATTATTTCAGATTTCCCCGTTGCGATTTCAACGTTAAAAAAAAAACGATTTTTCCGCGCAGCTTTAATTACCGCGTTTTTAGTCAACGTGTTTACTGCGTGTACGCGACGTGTGATATTGATCGCTCTGTTCTTCACTGATGATAACATTCAGCAGTAGCATAAAATTGCTCTGCTACGACATAGAGAAGAAGCGAAGTAGTAAGTTTCGCGATAATCAGACAAGAAGTTAATTGCGGTGAACGAAGTATTAATCAAAAGTGTTTCGAATGCTTGCATATATGCTATATATATTTATGGTTGATAATTTAATTTAAATATTTTTAAACTTGAAACTTGATTAAAACGTAAATTGATATCCCGATTGCTTCTCGAAAGCAATTGACAGACGCGAAAAAATTAGATGAATCGAATGATGGAAAAGGAGAAATTTTATAAATAGATATAGATTGCAGTCCACTGCGAGAACCGTCAACTACAAGAAAAACAAAGGAAAGATTGAGTGGTTCGATACTTTAATCAAACTTCAACGCAAAAGCGTAACTCGACTCTACTCGATGATACTCGAGAAGTATTTCAGAAATCACTTTTCTATCTTCATGTGCTCGAGAATCGCGTTATGAAAAGCGCGTTGTGTATATACACAGATACAATGGATTTTCAATCTCAATTATCGATATCGACGAGCGCCCGCTTGCGCGTACTCTCCGCCGCATTCTCCTTCGGTTTACGTCAGATATTTTCCGCACGTAATTAATTCGACCTAGTTTAACGTCACGTCGTTCGCTTACCTGGAGATTGGGTGGGCAATGATCGAGCAGCTCCAGCATGTGCCTGATGTTTTGCGCGTCCTGTATCACGAAATTCAGCTCCATGTCAAATTCACCGCCTACGAGCTGCACATAAAAAAATACAACAATCTTATCAACATATTTAAAACCCGTGTAATGTTTTACGTACAATAATATAACAATGGCGGCAAACAAAGTTTGTTCCGTACATTATTGGTTGTTGTACGCATCGAAATATATGTAATAATAGTCATAAATAATCATTCTCGGTATAAACGGATCGGACGTTTGCGAGCGAAATGCATATACCGTCGGTATTTAATCGCGGAAATGCTGCTAACTGAAAGCCTTGTCGTTCGATATCCGGATATATGTCAAACAAATATACGTTACGTAACGCTATTCTGCTATATCAAAATCCGGCTGGCCGGAAATGATGCGCAGCATGAAACAAATAAAGCCACTTTGACAAACAATCGCTTATTTCGCGACAGTGTCATTAATATTAATTGAGAGAGGACTTACTTTCCTGCAACCGTGTACAGGTTATAAATTTGGTGTCTACAATTTCTTGATTCATTAAATATGTTTCGCGTCCGACGTTGATAAACAATATTCGATTTACGTGGTACGCATAAAATGATTAAATATTGCCGTTTTATGATACGCATAAACCAGCGAAAATTTGCATCGGATTGTACGATATAGATTGCATCGTTTTAAGAGCACTGCATTATCAGTCATGTATATTATAAAAGGACAAAATACATAATCTCCTTTTTTATGCTCGCAACCATTGAAAAATTTTTTATGTGACGTAATACATTGTGCAATTCAACGGAATGAAAAGCGGTCGTTATTCGGCAAAACTTTACATGTACTTGGATCGGCCGCGTAGTAACGACGTGTTTTTACGGATACCTGAAATGTTACGGACAAAACATTTCGGACACGAACAGTTTACGGCCACATCCGCTTGCGGTTCTTTTTCTTACCGGCACGACTTATATATAGCCGAACCGGAAGTGCTGCCTCCGCGGAGAGAGCGTAATTTCCGGAGAAGTATCTCGCGTTTATTCTCCGCATCCTTCCATCCGCCTTACTGCGCCCCTCGTCTTCTTCCAAACGTTCCGTACCGGTATCGATCATGAATTCCTTACGGCCGTATCTGTGTCTACGGACGGGTCTATGACCAATTTTTACGAGCGCCGATCGCTCGTAAAAATTCATGACTTACGCAGAACTTGCCGTTTATAAAACTTATGACCAGCGATTGAAAATGGAGCTTATCCCGGTTCAGCAGCTCCAGTAAAACAGATCTCGCGTCTACTCTCTGTTTCCGAGGGAAAACTTGTATTATAAGTTAAGGGATCTCGGTGAGCGCCGCGAGTAGCGTCGGTTTCGTTACACCTCGAAGGAGTCTTCCGAAACTATTCTTCTGCGAAGCACGCGAAAATGGAAGCGCACTTTTCGCGAGAAGGAATGTTAGTCTTTTGGCAAACTCACAACTAATACTGCTGTTGGCGTTGGTAAAGTGTAAACGAATGTTGAGAAAATAGAATTGTTACAAAGGCACGGTGCATGTTCGATATCGATGTGTACGGACTTTCTCGCTTTTCCACAGTGCTTTTACTACGGCTCGCTATGGCGTGCAGAAAGCTCATGTTGCACGTAATAAGATGACTAAGTTCGCGACTCTCGAAACTAAAAGCGCTGGCAATTTCAGCAAACGTTTCGCGTTTCACTCGGCTCCGCAAATAAATTCTGCGAGAGAATAATTTGATGACGACTGATACGCTACAGATTGAACTAACATCAAATTTACAAACATTCGATAGAACGGACGATTGTCACAATTTGCAATAAATCGATCTTTATAAAATTGCACCGCCCAATCTCGTTACAAGAATTTCCATTGAGCTTTCAAGACGAATTTGTTACACTGAAATATTTTTCATCCAATTATTTCTTGTGTCGCATATCTGTTGGTAAAAGAATCAACCGCTTTTTGGCATAGTAAATATTCCGTTTTATTGATATTCGTTGTAATAGAATTGTGCTACAGCTCTCGATTTTCTACGTGTAGAACGTGTATAAACTGAGAAACAAAATTTTCAGGTTACAGCCGCTTGGCGCGTTTCCAACTATTTATAACGCAATTACATTCTTGCGTACGCGATGTGCGCTGAGAACATGGCAATAATTTCCATCTGGAATTTAATTTAATTCTTTGACATTTTATATATATGTTATATATATTGCTAACTAGTTGACCGCCAAAAATTAAAATTAGTTTAATATAAAATATTTCATTTTTTAATATCGCAAAAATGTCGATTATGTGAATATTTTATGTAATGAAAAATGTTCTTTGAGGTACGATTTATGGATTATATTTTACGTAACTTAAAATAAAATTGATTTATACACAATTACTCCGTGGATGTTAGTATTGCGTGTCATTGGAAAAGCTGGAGTAGAGAGAACAATGTGACGTGTGGTTCAAAGCTTACACCATCACGTGTCAGCCGTTCCCGGAAATCGTTCATCCTTTGAGAAAAATAAGTCTTCGAATAATAGAGAAAGAAGTGAAAGAGGTGGAACACTATTATTGCCTTTAGAAAGAGCGCGATGCCGCTGAAGCGATTTCTCGAATGACCCATATCACTTGCCGAATCTTAACAGTCCGTGTGCCGAGAATCGAAAGAATAGAATCGAGTGGCATTTAAAAAACATTTCTTTTCTGAGGGGATCGATTCACAGTTTTCGTCGTTATACGGCCATGTAGAATTGCTTCCTCAATCGAATCTTTATCTTTCAGATTCCCAAATATACTCATTAAAAATTTAAACGAAATGCATCACCGTTACGGTCATCTTTTCGGGATCTATTTGCAAGTGTTTGCATGTGAATTGCTCGCGTCCTCCTCTGAGTATAGTAGGTTCTTTTTGACTCTATTGCTATTTTGCAATGCACAAACAGCCATGCGAAATACGTAATGCATCCGTGTGAAGCACGATACCACGAGCCACTAGACCCGAATGACGCTATAGATATGTGCGGCCGAGAGAACGGTCGGACAAGCGAAAAGGGAGCTTCAACTGGTGAATTAAGGTCGACTGGCAGAGCTGACCGCTAATTAGATACCACTCGCTTTTACACCTGCATACTCTGACAAAAACAACTGCGCAAAGCAAAGCGTACGTCTAACTTGCGTATTCAGCGCTGAAATCCATTAAGGTTGGATATTAAAATCGTTTGAAATTGATAATGATATATTTAGTGAATCTTCTTTTTACTATTTTACAATAAAAAGATATTGTAAAACCCTTTCATATCAAGTATTTTATATGTATATTAATATATTGCTTAACAATGTAATCAGTTAAGCAGAAATAATTGTGTAATACAGTTACCATGCATGGTTGTTTCCACTTTATTTACTATTCTGCTGAAACTTGACAGCTCAGTTTACAGCTCTTCTTATAAATTATTAGAGCAAAATTTATTATAATACATTTTGCTACGCGCGATCTAACAATCATCGAAGCAAAACATGGACGTAAATTTTACTGGAAAATCGATTTGCCAGTCGTAAGTCCATCGTTATTCGTTATGTACAAAGTACGGCGGGAGCACGTTCATGCTGTTTGCGTGAAAAGTCTTTATTGAGTTACTTCAGAAACGCGACAAATCCTGTTTGTGAAATTTAAGATGCCCTCCATTTCCTCTGGAAATGTGTCACTGCTTTTCTTGGCTTTACAGCTACACGTTGTTTTCTTTATTGTAAACATATTTAATTCGTTATCAAAATTAGCAAACAGAAAGCTCTCAAGAGAAATAAAACGTGATTTCTTGTTTCAAAATTGATGAAAAACCAAATGTTGTGATCGAAAATATAACAATCTTTTTAAAGATACAAAATTACAATAAACTTTAACAATTTAATAATTGATATATTGAGCGCGTCCACAACAAATTTTACGTTTTTACGAAGATGTATATTGCGAACACGTGGAGAGAGATACAAAGTTCTCATATATCATCTTGCGAGAGACCCGAGGATCACGAGCGTTATATCATTTCTGTCAGAGTGGGCAGGCATTGGTAGATCGACGAGCACGCATCTACTTCGGGATGTCATTAATCTGCATCGAGATCTGCATTTCAATCGCCAGATGATACGGTCCACTGTTCCGTGTGCTCCGGTGAGACTTCCGCGAGATCTCCATCGACCGTATTTACATATCGGTACAAGGGGTTACTGTTGCGTGTTCTGAAACGTCGACTCTGTGACAAGTCATCGCAGGGGAACATAACTCTGACAATATGAGTGCTGCATTTGAATTTGTAATACCGCGTGCGACGACGCATATGTGAGATACATGTCGCGCATGCATGTCGAAGTAATCTCAGTCACGCTAACTGCAATACAACAATGCAAACTCGCGCGGTTTATTTTTTGTTTAAACTCCTCGAATACAAACGCTGGAAGATATTTCCGAAATTGTTTTTCTAACTCTTTTATTGCGACAGATGTAGACTCGTATTATGATAACGTAACCGTTTTGTTTTATCGGGTAATAAAAAGATTCGTGCGGCTTTCTGTATTAAATTTGTTTTTGTGTATTTTTTATTTTTTCTTAATAATGTATATTGTTTCGGTTTATCCTTGTCGTTCAATCTTGAATCTAATATTTTTACACATGATTTTAAATTGATTATTACATAAAAGGACCGGGAATGGAACATATGTGCACATGTCGTATTCAGTCAGTCAAGATCTCACTGTAAAGTTGTTTTCTTCCGTTCGCGACCGTTTTGTTCAGTATAGAGAATTCTCTTTGGGGTTGTGCGCCAAGGATCATTTCAGAGGGGCAAACTGTGTCCCGGGGAATTTCAGGCCACGTGCCTATCGCCACTCACCCTATCTTGCCACTTTACGAGTTTTGACGACATTTGCCTGTAGCATAGGGGACGCGGATTTCTGTAATCTTCTTCTTCTGCTGAAATCAGAAACTTTGTCGCTCCTTTCTAACATTTCACCGTGTTACATTTCCCTGCTTAAATAAAGAATACGAAACTCATCTAATATAGATAGTAATCTGAGATTGCGTTTGCGTCGCGAATATAAAGCATGTCAGGAATAATTTTAAAAAATGTAATGATCAAACAATTGCAAAAGAATAATTTTTTAGGCTAGTTAAAAATACATTCTTAAGTACATTCGCAATTTTTGTTCTGCGTTTAAAAATTGCAGCGTTAAAGCCCGCACTTATGATGAATAAAATACGAAAGCAGAAAGCTGCAGATTTGCATGCTTCCGTGCTTATCCATAATGAACAACAGCAGTCTTATCTTCCCATTTAGGAATAAGAAAAGATGCAGGAGAGGAAGGCATCTGACACATGGGATGAGCTATGTAACCCACTGGTTTCTCTTCGGCCGTTCCTTTTTCTTACGTCCGTGTACCGCTTCCGCTCGACATTCATATTTAAGTCGCGCTGCTTCTAATTAGACCGCCATCTTGGACGGTTTTAAATTCACGAGCATTGTTCTTCCCTTAGCGAGTCGTGTCTTTTGCGCCCGGTCACCGGCTCGCCAATGAATTTCCGGTGCCGTATATTCTCAGCGCTGTGCGGCTTTCGCGCACAGATATGGAGAAGAAGAATGTGATTAATAACCCATGCTCCCCTGCAGTAGTCGCGCAAATGGTAAAAGCCATTCACTGATATTTAACTTCCGCGCTATCTTATTAAATGTTTGATATACATCCTTATTTAATCACGTTCTATTTGCAGACATTGAAATACCGGGCTGCGCGACGGTGGAAATTTCACATTAAAGCGCAAAATTTTCAACAAAGCTTTCTGCGTTGTTGGCGCTTCGTGACGCTCGGTAAAAATTCCACATAATCGTTAGCCACTTTTTCTCAAAGAGGCGTTCGTTACACGTAGCGGCTTCTGTGAAAATCGAGTTTTCAACATGATTCTAGATCAAGCGGCAGTGCGCGTGTCGCGTTTCAACTATGTCGGTGACAGTACATTGACTCGGATGGGGAACGTGACATCACTCCGAGAACCAAAATCACGGACCCTCGAAACTATCCGGAACAATCCGATAAGTAACACACATTGCGTCGAGACCTCCGCAACACGGAGCCCAGCTATTTACGTATAAACAGTACAGAGGGATTCCGCTGTGCTGGCCGTTCCTGTTAATAGATTGCATCGTTAGGCAAGGGTCATTAGCGAATACACCAAGCGAGCTAATGGAAATCATCCTATTGGCAAACGTTTCCATTGTTGGGCGCACAGGTCGACGAAAAACGAGAATTTTAATATATACGTTCGCGAATTAAAATGCCCATTATAATCGAGCATGCATAATACAACCAATTTCGAAATGTCAGGATGCATTTAAATGTAAATTTTCTCATACGCATAATACTCCGAACGAAAATGCTGCATGCGATAAATACATGCAGTAATGACGATACGTAACGCTTCATTACGTACGTTTGATTGAATCGCGTCCATCGAATCATTGTTTATTCAAGTGCGCAGAAAACCTCGGTTATGATAGTGATGATAATAATCATTTCAATAACTCTTCAAAATTTTGCATAATTTATTGCCACTCGTGCTGGTGTTTTAATAGAGCGCGACCGTATTTCATTAATTATCTCTTATCTGTTCATCCGACAAGGGGGGAAGAAATTAATAGTAGAAATTCCGGTTGTAATTGGATCACGAGTCGCTGCCACGTAAGCAGTCTGTCATTCTCCAGATCAGGGTAACACCGGCCCCTGATGTCGCGCCGTCGTCAGAGATCCTCGAATATGCATCAGAGAACATAATCTGAAAGCGTCTCGAGCTGTTGCGCCGGTGTAAACTGTCCGATTTGCATTCGGAGCAATGTTCAAGTCGAGGTCAATCTCACGATTCCCGGCTCAATGTCCGCGTGCCGGCGAATTCCGAGTTGGGATCATGTTTGGTAAACGCTGGACGATGTCGCTCCGTGTCGCGGAGAATGTCACGAAAGTGAGATCACGAATCGGGTTTCCGCGTGTCCAACATTACAATTAACAAAGCGATTATCGTCAGTTGTCACCATCGGATAACATAGGCGTTATCGTTTCCTTCCATTCGAGTCCAAACGCAGCTGTTGATAGTGAAATTGCGCTTCAATTATTTATATATGCTCAAAGGAAATCTAAATTTTTAGAAATTGCACAATTGGCTACATTTTTGGAGAATTGAAGCATTACGTAAAAAAATTGCAGGATATGCTAATATTTTTTTCAGTGAATATTTGAGAATCATGAAAAAAAATTAAATAAAATTAATACCACGGAAAGTACTAATTTTTTCATATTCATTCTTTTGACATTCTAGTAATTGCGAGCATAAATACACTTAAGAAGTATAAACAATAATTAGTAATTAGCTATTAGTCTGATGAATTACAGGTGTCATCTCTGGTACATGCATTAGCCTTTTCTTTTCCCTCGCATTATCCACGCTCAACCGGCAAACAATGACTGCGGATATTCATTTGGAAATGTTTCCCCTTAATTAATGAAAGTTTTAATACCCTGCTGAGTCGCGTGGCATTCTTCCCCTTTCAATTTTAATGAGAGTACTGTGCAGAGTGACGAAGGAGTCATAAACAAGTCAAATAATAACAGCTTTATTGGAGTTCCGCCGGGTTTTTCTCATTACTATTATTGGCGATTCTGGCTAGGGGGAATAGAAAAGAAACCGCTCGAAGTTATTGGGGAAAGAAAAGGATGCACATATATAATATAGATATATACAATGGAAAAGGGAGAAAGATGAAAATGGTTGCGGGAGGAATCAGGCGGTGTCGGTGCCTCGTTTGTGTTGCTATTCATTGTAATGATACCTCTTTTGCGCTTGATGAAAGTTTCGATCTCGCAATTAATTCTGAGTATTTAGCAAGGCAAGTATGGATAATGACCTAAAGTAGAAAAAGGTTGTTGGAATTGCGAATAAATAGTTCTTTATATATTTAATATTAATCGATTGCAGTTTTCATATTTCTTATGTACTACGCGCATTTTTTTTCTGTTTGTAATTTCTTAATGAATGTGTATTCCATCCATTCAGTCGGATATTGCATATATTTTTATTATTCCATCGAATTTCTATTCCATAAAACAGATTTATTTAAGTTTATTGAACTGCCTCTTATTTTCATCCGCAACCGTTCACGGCACCATAATGATAACAATTAACTAACCGCATGTTAAACTACCGCACATGCGGTATAACGAACGTGTGTGTGCGTGCTATGATCTATAGAGAGTATTAATGCTATGAAGAGGAAGAGAAGCGCGTTTTATTAAAATAGATTAAGTAAAAATTTTACGTCTGCCTAGCTAGTCTCCCCACTTTGCGTAAATTCAATAAAAAAATTACATAATTATGCGCTCACCAAATCTGCAAAAAAAAATTTTGCGCTCTTTTAGTTTAGCAAAAAAATTTTTTTGTGGGAGGACTGAGTGTGGACACAACCAGTGAGCCTCCCTAAGAGCGCCAAATTTTTTCTTTATAAATTTCGTGAGCGCATCATTAGTGCATAATTATATAATTTTTTAATTGAATTTGCACAAAATGTGGGGCTAGCGAGACGTAAAAACTTTGACTCACACAGAAGACAAGATTTAAAATATAGGAAGAAATATTATTCTACTCTAAAGTGGAATCTAAAATTTTCTCGACGCTGCATACCTTGTCCAGTTACGAATAGTTGCATTCTAGGACGAGAGGAGTTTTCAAATATGCTGAGTTCAAACGCGAATGCTATTGCTTTCGCGGTGTCGGTAAAAGTAAAAAGTTTCGAGATGCTAAAGAATGTTAGCCACGCATGGAGATTATTCAGCAGAACATGAAAGCAAAAAGAAGCCTCAAAACGACCATCCTGGCCTTTTCTGAAATATGTTACTGTTCAATACTGCTATCTGCATGCATTTTAGAGTTGGAGCTGGATAGACACATTTTCGATACTATTTTTTGACAAAACTCTTTGATGCATGTCCGTGCTGAAATCAAATTATGAATTAGTTTGTCTTGTGTATGTAATAATTTTGTAACACGATAATTCCAACTCTCAAATGGATGCAAATATTTTGTTATTGATACATATGAATCGACAGGTGTCGATAGAATCGATAGAATCGATAGAAAAGATTAAGCCAAAATTTGCAGTGCAAAAATAAATATAATTAATAATTATTTACTGCATTGAATCTTGCGTGGTGTATACTGTCAATATTTAATTTATTTTCGTAACATATGCATTTTAATAAATTCCAAATATTGCTTTCATGCATCAGTTTACATATTTAATCCAGAACCAAATTATGGAAACTAAACAAGTATCTTAAGTAATTTAGAAAATATTTAGAGAAGAAAACAGAAATGAAAAAATACAAACATATCCAAAAATTAATATTTTCCTCCTGTGATATATATTGATTTATTTTTATTTGACAACTAATATGTATAATATACACATCGCATTATTTTAATCTTTTAATTTCAATTTTAAAGCTTTTTATGAATCAAAAGTACATATTTAAATATAATATTTTCTGCAGATTTATTATGTCGCTATAAAAACAAAGATATTTTGATCTTAACTCACCGGCACACGGTGTGCAACAGCGGAGTTGTAGTTTACGTTGATCTGTAAAATATAAAAGTATATTCGGATTATAACAGCGTTCAAAATAATTAATATTTCGTTAAAAATAACTGCTAGCATTAAACTTTTTATTTGCTTTTGAAAGAAATATTTAATAAAAGAATTGCGCAAGTTTTCAACAAAATGTTTCCATGTATAAACTTTTTAAAATATTTAATGAATCAAAATCTAATGCTCATACAAACATTCAAAATAATTATAAAACTTTAAACAGATAAATGTTGAGCAGTATGGAAAATGTTTAATGTTCATAAATATTAAGTAGTATAAATATTTTACTCAATATTCTATGATAATAAAATGATTTAAAATGTATGATGTATATATTATATGTGTATATCACAGTGGTACAATATGTCAAATAATAATAATAAAATAATAAATTACTTATCTCACAGTTGCTCCATCGTTGCCTGATGCTTTCTGGGCCTCTTTCTTCTCTCAATAACCCATCGATCATTGTTTCTTCTTAGCACAACACTCACTCGCAAAAATACGATTATGTACGATTACGTGACAATTTGTGCAGCACTCCCAACTTGTATTTTGTTAAATCATCACAAAGAAACGATATAGACATAATATTTCAAAAAATATAATCGCACGGAATCATAATCCATTCGACACTGGTGTTCAAAGTATGCAATAGCATGGATTAAAATCAAGACCTGTGCGATCAACTTAGACGCCGCGGCTATGATTGACCTAAACTACTTTTGTATGCTTCCCATGTTTCTCATGTACATAAAAAAATACTGTATATTCGAGTTTTTTGGCATTTAAAACATTTTATTATTTTATGTTATAGTAAATAAATATACAAACGTGAATATAAAAGTGAATAAATAAAAAGTTAAAATTAAAGATTGATCGCGAAATAAAATATTCAAATCGTTAATCACGACGGCTGATTAATTGCGCAAAATGCTAATCGGCAATTCTTTATAGAAAAATGATTTTCTAATATTTATAGCGATCGCAATTTAATCGAGGTAACAATTTGACATAAAAGCAGCTTCCATTATTTACTATTCTTTTCGAGTATTGCAATGCAAGTGATAGCAAGATAACATGCAACACAATACGTGTATGTCTCATGTACACCAAAAAAAAAAAAAACAATTGTTGTGAATGCCGTAAGCACCGAGCTAACATCGAAATATTGATACATTTTAAAATATATCCAATATATATATTTGATACATTTTAAAATATATCCAATATATATATATATATATTACAAAAAAAATCGTATGTTCCTCGCATTTAAAATTTTAATTTTGAATAAATTAGTTACCATATTTTTATACTATAATCTTTATTTTTTAGATTTATTAGTAACCCCTAAGATTATGATCAATTCCGTATTTTATTTTTAGGATGCTTTATTATTTTGAATTATAATATAAATTAATAAATATGCGAGTTAAAATTAATAAATATGTGAATCAAAATTAAAAACAAATATTTTTGTACTAAAATATTTTAAAAATATGATGAGCTGCTTTGCCAATTTTTCACGCCAATAAACTTCAATAGAATAAATTTCATGAAACACACACTTTAACGCACAATATAATATTTGTCGCGATCGCGATATAAAAGTTAATACGGATCGACTATACGGAGCTATTCTCTCCATAACTCTCATTGCCATGTGTTATTCGACCTTCATTCAATCTTCATTCACACGACATCGCTCGAGTGGGCAAGTCGCAGAGAGAATTGTTCCGTGCTGTCGCGCTATATCTTTAAAATCGTTCGCGTTTTGATTGCGAGAAATATTACATCATTCAATAATTTCCACATTGTAGTTCGCACGATTAATTAAGTCCCGATTAACGATATGTAATAACGACGAATATCCAAACGACAGCTATTTATTGAAGCAGGCATTTCATGTAATTTGTTTACTTAAAATGGAAATCGAGACGATCCGAGATGAGATTTATATAAATTATTTTGATAATTATTAATCGTGTAATATTTTTCGGCATAAAGTACAGTTGTGCGTTTCACGAATTTATTCTATTGATTATTATTCTATTTGTCACACGAGTAATAATAAAACAGCGATCATATTTCCGCATATTTTATTCTGCAAATATTCATTTTTAATTCATATATATTTTTTTATAATATAAGATAGTAAAATATTCTAACGCGAAATTTCAATGAGTCAGAATTACTCATAATTCTAAGCAATGCTAACTAATTTCAAAAAGCAAAAGTACAAAAGATCCAATAATAATCTATTTGTTCGGAATTAAAATTCGAAACGTAAAGAATAGAATGTACATGTATCTTGCAACGCTCAGACAGAGCAGTCGGTGGTAGCGGAAGCTATTCTATATCGTGACTCTTTCTTAAATCGTAATTGCTAAAAATGTTAGAAATGTTATTTCATATTAATAATTACTGTTTCATAATTTTCGCAATTAGTAAGTTTGCACGGTTACTGAAATATTTCATTTCGCGAATATACATCTTTAACTTTAATTTGTGCATTTTACTAATTTAAACATATTATTTATAATACAACATAAAACGCTCTGAATGCTTTAAAACGCAAACATGCTATTTTTCATGTGCAGAAAACGAGGGAAGCTTACGAAACTAGTTTAGGTAGACCAAAGCCGCGACGGCAAAGTTAATTGCGTAGTTTTCGATTTTTCTCCATTGCCGTTGCCTGCTCGAGAGCAAACGGATCGTAGTTCTGTGCGATCGCATTTTTTTTTCTGTTTTAGTGTTCCTTTATTGTAATTCTTTGTATAACCTTTGTCGTAATTTAACGAAATTCGTATCGGGAGTGCCGTGTAAATTATTGCGCAATCGTAAAATAATCGTATTTTCGCGAATAAATGTTGTGCCATTAAGAAGCAGCCATCGATAAACTACTGAGAGGAGGAGGAGGTCCAGGGGGCATCAGGCGACGGCGGAGCAACCGTGAGGTAAATAATTTATTTCTTTTTATTATTATTACGTGGCATATTGCGCTGTAATATATTGTACATATAATATCGAATATTTTAAATTATTTTATTATCACAGAATACTGAACAAAATATTTACATTATTTAATATTTCTGAACATGAAATATTTTTTACATTGTTCAACATCTATTTAAAATTTTATAATTATCTTGAATATTTATTTTAAATATTTAAATAAGCATTAGATTTTATCAAATATTTTTAAGTTTATAAATGCAACATTTTATTGAAAATCTATACAATTCTTTTATAAAATATTTGCTTGAAATACAAATGAGAAGTTTAATTCACGTAGTAATTACTGTTGAAATATTAATTTATTGAGCTCTGTTAATAATCTGAATATGCTTTTGTTACAGATCAACGTAGACTACAACTCCGCTGCTGCGCATCTTATTGGTAAGTCATAATTCAATTATGTTTGCTTAATACCGAGAGAGATAATGGATTTGCAAAAATTATTTACTGAGATATATATTTCCAAATTAAAATAATTTAAAAAAATTTAAATTAAGAAATATTATAAATGAATAGAATATTTTATAGATCCATTGTCTTAAGATTGATGGACTGAAAAAAATTGGATGATATACAATATTTGACTGAAATACATGCGATTATTCATCATTTTATTGTGCATACGAAAATATGCACAGAGCTTATAAAATAAAGCTTCAATATATTTTGGTATTTTATTATAAAATATTAATAAAATATTAATTGTATAATGTAGCTATGTAGCTACAAGACATCAAGTTGCTTAAAAAGTTATAAAATAAATTGACAAACATAAAGAAAATATTTCTTGACAACACTTGCTTACACAATATTTTTGGAAAATGCAACTGAGAGCACCATAAAGATGTATTTTATGAATATGTATATTAATTATTGTTTTATATAATTATATAATTATATAAAAAAATAATTATATATATATATATATCATTTTTGCTCTCTTTTCTCTTTCTCAAATATTCCCTAAATAGGATATGTTTGATTTTTATTATATAAAATTATATAAAATAATATAGGAAAGCAAATTCAAAGAATTTTTGAAAATGCATATGTTACAAGCGTAAATTAAAAATTGACAGAATATATTGCATACAGTATATTCCAAATAATATATATGTACTATAAAAAAGTACTATATTTAATGATTATTAATTTATTCTTACAAAATGTGTACCAATTTTATCGTAATCTTTTTTAGCCTGTCCATTCATGTATCAATAGTATTTGCGTCCATTCCAGAGTTGGAACTATTTTGTATCGAGTAATACAATTAAATTCGCACATGACACATTCTTGAATCAGAATCCACGAATATAGCACAGATATGAAACAAGCAGTTTCAAAAAATGAATGTGACTATCTAGTTCCAACTCAAAAATGGATGCAAATAGCGATATTGAACAATGGATGCTCTCACGCGAAGTACCATGATTTCTACTCCAATTCTTCTCTCTACCCTTTGTGTCCTACTTCAATTCTTTAAAGGTATTGCTCGAAACTACTAACTATTAATTACGCGTTAATGGCGGCATTTGCATATATGATAAACTTTGATCGTTATTCAGCCGTGATATAACGGGGCTCTTCTAATTACTATCATTGTATGTTGAAATCTCAAACAAAAACATTCGATAATACGGACAGTATTCGCGCGCATAAAGTGGCATAGAAGTTTTTAATTTCACATCAAAGTAATGCGTATATTCCACATTGCATAGTTCGTCCGTTGCGAGTAGCAAATCTCGATTCACGCAATTTTGGCAATGCTTTGAATCGGTTAATGAATTAATTAAAATAAACACGGGAGCGCCAGTTACAGATCCCTCGGATTGATGTGCGGCATCAACCTATCGCAAAACCGTGTATACGTCATTATTTACAGTGAGCTGGCGTGCTTTTGTATCGAGAACGAAGTGCCGTGCTAAAATCGATTCGACTGGTCTCCTGTTTTCGCGTATTGTCCGTTCCCA